ATGGTCACTGACATGAAAAAATACACAAAAAATAAAGGAACAAAGATTTACAAAAGTACACTTAAAGCACAAATTATACATGTTGTCTTTTTTGCTTAAATAGATGACTTTTTTTTTCACCTGATGCCCAGTGATAAAGCTGTTTTCCCAGCATAGTTTTTCCCTGTATTGTTATCACCACCATCAGCTAGCAACCAACGGTAAGATGAAACTGAACTTATTCTTTGGAATGGCTCAAGTTCAGTTCGAAGAAATCAAACCACAAAAAAAATCTTGGCAATTAGCTCTGACCTTTACTAGAAAATAATTTGCACATTTGAATTTTAAATTGCATCACCAAGACTTGGAGTCATGCAGATAGCCTGTTCTACGTGCAAGGCTGTCACTTGCATGAAAGCCTCATGGGGTTGAAGTAGAGACCTTTGTGTTTCCAAGATAGACCTTTTCATAGACCATTTCCAACACTTCCATGAAGGTTGATTGCATATTCCAGATTGACTGTAGATGTATCAACCCTGTGACGAATGGTTCACTGCCATGTTTGTTACACCTTTTATTGTTCTTTAATTTGCTCTATGAGGAACCTTTGGGTGGATGCTAATGTCGTCTGCTTTGCATCTTGATAGAACTTGTCTGTTGCCTCTTTCACAAACTGAATGAAAAATTAATTTACTTGTGGGTGTCATCTGGTATGAGGGTATTTAGCTTACAGCAACCCAAGAAACAAACACCCACATCCCCAAATGAAGTTTCTATGTAACACTGTTTATAACATGTATCATAAACAATATAAAAATGCTAAACTAGGTTTTATGCACTGTAAGTTTAGATATTATTTAGTACATGTACAGTTTACGCTAACTTTGCAGTTGAACATCTGCAAATATTAAGTCACAAAGTAGAAATCGAAAAACTATTAGTAACGGCGTCTGACATTAATTCATATGTGATGTGTTGTAATTCTAGTTTTCCACTGAACTGATATCAAAATTATAAACAAAACTGTGTCTTGCTTCATCTTTATTGAAGATTTGGCACAACAGTTTTGTGTTTTTGCATATCTCTGCACAGGGGAAAGCACACCTTCCTGTTGTGTCCAGTCACCTGTTTGTGCGGTTTAATAAAGGTTAGGGTGATTTTCTGAGAACGTAAAATGTTCCATTAGGTTACAGGTGCACTTCCTGTAACTGACATCTCTAACTCTAAAAACAGCAATAATCGCTTTTACAAGACATGGCACGAGCCTGTTTTATCTTAACTATAGGGATGTAAAAAACTGAAGTGTGAACTCCTACTTCTGCATGTAAGAGGGAGGATGCATGTCATTTTTGGAAGATGATGTATTTGTCTTTGTTGTAACTAAGTGTTGAGGGTAAACAAATACTCGCTTGATACAGAAAAAATAGGTGTTAAACAGGAAGCTTAACTATGATCTCCCTTAAAGTCATATCCTCAGTTTGCAGTGTTAAAGTCAGTACGATTCATTTCCTGTATTTTTGTGTGTTTTTCAGAATCGTTTTGGTTTATTTCATAGAGAGTGTTTATATGATAAGAAAGCATTGAGTAAACCTGATGTGTGGTTTCTATTGCCAGGGTTAATCATCCATCTATCCAACCGTCCACCCTGCTGCGTGTTCCATCATACAAATATCCCTCTCAGTTCGGCTCCCTCTTTCTCATGGAGACTGGATAGGTGCAGCAATCTTCAGTCTGACGGGAACTCAGAGTGGAGAGGTTTCTCCTCCACTTTGAATGGGGTCAGGTATCTGGCAGTGATGCATCTTGGTCAACCACCGTAATCCCAGAACCAAAACCAAGACCTGATGAGGGTGGCTTTCTTTACTAAGTCAGTTGTCTCAGCAACCCACCTTCAGCAGTTAGACAATGGATGGGTACAGTTGTTATCTTTTGTGAGGGTTAATTACAAGTCATCAGTTTGTAAAGTCAGTGGACTGTAATGTGCAAGGAAACTATTGGCCAAGTGCAATACCTTCTGAAGAAAAAATAACTCCTTTGAGCAAGTTAAAGGTTAGACCCCCTTTTTGTGAAAAGCAGCGATCTTACCTGCGATGGCATTTCCAGTAATCTATTAAAGGTTTAGAGCATAGCATTCAATACTGTGGTCACAATATAATCTGTCAAAGCTACAAGATCCATTGTCAGTGTTGCTCTTTTTAACCACCTTTTAATCAGACGTCGCAAGTTTAAAGACCTATTTCAGAGTCAGTCCACTGACTTCCAAACTGATTACTTAAAGGAACCAATAATAATCAGTAGAGTTGGCCTAAAAGTGTGATGAGCTGGTCACAGAAACAAACAGTTGGCCTTTGAATGACAGAATGAAAATAAAGAAGTATTTTGAGTTCACTTTATCACAGCCCACCTCTACAGTCTATGTTCATTTTTTTTATGTTCCTGTGACATTTGGACTTCCCCGATGTAGTCCAACTGACAGAAAAAAACCTCTCTGTTTCACAGAAACTACAGAAAGAAAAAAAGGCTACACACCCACACAGTTAAGGTGTACATAAACCACTTCCTATCCCCTGTTTCTTTCCACACAGCTTTTGTTTCCAACAAAAGAAAAAGACAGCGAGACCGCAGGTGTGATCTTCCTGTCTCACTCCACATTTTATTTTCTACACAGAAGAGGAGCAAAACCAGAATCAAACAATGTCAGCTTTTAAATGCACATATAATGACATCTGACCATCTTTATCAAATGTCCTAAAAATCTATTGAAAAATAATACATTGCAAGGATTTCTCCTAATAGCAAATGAGCGATATTTGACATGCTAAAGTGTTATAAGATATTTGTTGTATTATGTTCTGCATTGTGCCTTAAAAGTTAACACTAAGCATTAAAAGTATAGTAATATCTGATCTCCAAAAGGCCAGAAGATTAAAGGTTGGTGCTTGGGACTTGTTAGCTGTTTCAAAACTCATGTTTCTATCTAGCCATCTTGCCCCCATTTCATCACTTTGAAAGTATAATCTCTTTCACCTCCTACGTTTTGTCCTTTTTCCAACACTGATGACGCCTGTTATGTTTAAGCCCTGTCTCCCACCCACACCTGCCCTTTTGCTGCTCTATTTTTCTAACTATCACTCTAACTATTACTTGGTAACATGGCAACATAGTTTCTCATGTTCACTCTGATTTTTCTCTTTTAATCTGTTAATGGTAAAAACTTTAGAAGGCATGGCATTGTCTGAAAATTTTCTCTATCTGCATATGATCAAGAAACATAGGAACTTAATCATTTTCAGGATTTAACCCATTAAGACCTTCCTCACCCGGTTAGGATGAATACAGGTTCTATCATTAGCTGGACAGGATCCTAATATCGTCACGGGTTAACATTCATTATAAAACGGAAGCATTATTGCAACCAATGGAAAATTTAGCCCTCTATACATTTGTCAAACCCGAACACCAAAAATACATCCTCATTGACCTTTCAATGCAAGATATGAGCCAGAGGCAGAGACATGATTTTAAATTGACCCCAACATACATCACATCAGACCCTAACATGATAAGTAAATTGTTTGGTGATTAACATCAGCTATTACACAAGATTAACTGACATAGTAGCCTACCTGTATGGTTGTGCTCTGTGGAAAACTTGTTCATTTTCTGCTTCTCTCTTATCGTGTTGTCTTGTCTGTACACTCATTCCAACTGAAAATGTTTTTTTCTCTTTTTAAAATTGAAATTGCCTGATTTCTAAAAGTGACGAATGGGAAAACTTTGAGTACATCACCATATGAATAAAGTGGCTTCTGTGGTTTCCTTGATGGTGATAGGAAGAGTTTTTTTTGTGTGTGCTGTGCAAGACTTGAGAGCAGAACAGTGAAAACCCCTTTTTTTCATCTTTCGCTTACCCTTCTTTCATAGCAACCTAAGCTTCTTTAGATGACTAGTTGTTCAGTGTTTGGTCATATGTCATTGCTGTAAAATGAGATGTTGTAAATGCTGTATATAATTACTTTTTGGGGCTTTCAGTACACTAGACCTGAAATGTCCTCAAAACACTTTAGATTACATACAAAAATAATCTACTATAAATAAACTGAGAGATATCTAAGTTTTTCTAAGACAGTTTATTTGCAAACTTGTAAGTTCTGGTCTCCTTTTGAAACCATTTGTAATGTCCTGTACACAAGAAGTGTAACACAGGAACCTTATCCAAGGGGGAACCTACAAATATGACGTGTGGTGTTTTTAGGAATAAAATTCTGCTTTATTATATTAAAACAACAGTTAAGTAAAGAAATTTGCACAAATCCAGTTACCGCCATCAGCATAGATGGCGTTAACTGGATTTGTGCAAATTTCTTTCACTCTCTCAAAAGCTCAGATGAATTATTGATACAGTCAGTCTGCTGTTTCTGTCCTCATCTAGGACTGTTTGTCCTTGCTGATCCTTCCATTTTTTTTCCTTTTCCCGACAACATCTTGTGACTTAAAAGTGTAATTTTGCATTTTGCTGCCTCTATGTGTTGCTTGAAAATGTAAACTGTTCAATCAAATAAAGCTTTCTAACATACTCACATGCCTCTCTTGCTTGGGACTCATCTGAATAGTATCTTCTGTTCTGAGGTCAGTTTTAAAAAAGTCTGGTTTGTGAGCATGTTTTTTATACTTATGTGACAGTAAAGATTCTGTTACATAGCAGTAGGCAGAACCAAAAGAAGTGATCCAGTATCACTTCACAGCCACATCAAGTTATACTTCTCTTTTTTTCAAACTTAGAAACCGACTCTTCTTTTTTTCCTTTGTACATTTGAAGATTCGTAGCTTTAAGAAATGCTTTAAAACTCAAGTTTAGTGATTATTTGTGCAAAGAACATGGGACATAAATCCTAAAAGGAAACTAGGAATAAATGTTTGTGATTGCATCAACTATAATTAGGCCCAATCTGTTCAGCTCCCCAGGAGAACCAAAGGTTTTGCTGCCCTCAAGTGGAGACTGAAAAATACAGAAATAGTAGTCCCAACCTTTTTGAAACATGCTGTTGCCCTTACATTTAAGATGAAGTGAAACTTCTTATTAAAAAGAAAGATGCCCTGTTTTCAACATTTAACATGTTTTCTATGTTTGGATTATATGTCGGTTTGTAGTTAAATACTTTTGGTTTCTATTTACACATCACACAAAATTTAGAAATCAGGGTTGAAGTGGTGTTTGAATGTTTTTTGAAAGTTTTACTACGTTTTTGTCACAGGCTTTAGTAGTGCATTAGGGCATGAAGGTTTACTCTTTAACACAACAATGATTAAACTTCACAAAAATTAAATCATCCTGTTTAGTTTTTGCTTGTGTGTATTGTTGCTGATGTAAGCCCATGTCTATTAGAACCACTTACATAAGTAAGAACCACTTACATTGTAAAGCTATGTGTAGAATTAGATTTAATGGACTGGATTCTACCCCTTTAATTTTTTCACCACAAGATGTTAGAAATCAAGTCTTTATCAGACTGACACTCACCCGTTACTGTATGCCATGCTGACACAGCTGCTCCTTCAGGCTATCCAGGATACTTGAAACAATGCTGAATCCACTTTGCATTAAATGGATTAAATCAGTTTAAATGAACATTTTACAAGAACCATTTCAAAGGTGAAGTGACTATATCGGCAAAGAGATGCTAAATCCAACTAAATGAAACTGGAACGAGAAGGTTCACTTCCCCCTATCAAATGACTGGACTTTTTGACATGTGGTTACACTTTCTGGGAGGGCCCATTTATTAGGGGCGAGTCGATTTGTTGCTATGCATTCGTGAAGTGTAGCTTGACTCTTTAAAAATCTAGCATGTGTCATCTTTATGCTATATTGTAAGCATCACAGCAGTAAACAAACTCAGTTTATTGGTTGCACTTCCTCACAGTTGTGTTAGTTTTGAATCAACAGTTGAGCATTCGGACGTTTCATCGGGAAGCTACAATCCAGTTAAATTCATAAACCAACAGCACGACAATTAGGCACCATTGATCTAAAATGAATGTTTCCCAAGTTGATGACGTATTAAACAAAGATGGCATTATATGTGCACAACTGACATTTACATGAATGGAAAAATGTCTTCGTTGAAGAGTAAGGCGTGTTGTGTCCACTGGGCCCGGCCGTCATGATAGGCTCATCCAGCCTACCATTCATCAGTTTCAAACCATCTGTTGTTTTTAATCCATCACAAGTGTTTCCCTCTGCCTTCAGATATAACATGTTCAGGCACAGCACGGGTATACCACTCCGACCAGCCACCGTCATAGACAGACACACCCGGATGTCCACACTCATGAGCTGCTAGCGCCACATGGCAGGCCGTCACACCCGAGCCGCACGAGACACAAATGGGGCGACCGAGGTCCACCCCAGCACGTTCAAAGAGACCATGGAGTCGCTCTCTGGACAGAAAGTGACCTGAGGGTGCGAGGAGGGAATGGAATGGGATGCTGATGGAGCCAGGAATGTGGCCTGGCTCTGTGTCTGTGAATAATGGAGAAAAAAAAGACATGTAGAACACTTTTTTTCAGTCATTTAGTAATTGTAATTATAATTGAAAGATAGACCTTTATATGGATAAATAATAATAACAAAGTATTATTTTCATACTGAAATTCCCCTTGATCCTTACTGGCAAAACCTTAAAACTTTGCATGGCAGCTGTTTGTGAGGAAAAGCAGTAAACAATAAAAACTTTTATTTACTTATGTTTAACTTTCTCTGTCACTTTCACTGTCAAAAAATGACCTGTATGTAACACAGTTAAGATGCATATCCAAAATATAAACAAGCAACAAGACATAAAAAATGGATTTTTAGTCAAGCAAATCAGACTTCACACATTTCCACATTTCAATTATTAATAAAAAAGAATGAATAATACTCATTAATACTGATAACACTTCAAAGCAAAAGATGCTTCAAAAACCAAACTGATCAGTGTGAGTGTTATCCCTGGTTAAGTAAAGGTCATTATTGGTCAAAAGACTTCAGGATGATATCTTCTCTTGTCATACTGAGACTGACACATCTAAACAGGACAAAATCCAAACTCTAAGCTATTCTCTACAGTGTCTGCTCTGGTCCCGTTTACCTGTATGTGCATGCATGAGTGCGAGCTGACTGAAGATTAAATGCATGATTGCATCTCTCTGTTTGCTCTCCTGTGTTTGTGGTGTGGTTTGCATGTTTGTCCAGGGCAAAGTCTGAAAAAGAAAATCTTATATACAAGATATTGGGTGTGTTTTGTAATTCCAGCCAAATTTTTGTGGCTTTTCTGCTGCATGCCTGTGCCAGAGTGTGGCCAAGTTGCCACGCAATGCCATATATTGGTTTGGATCTATTTTTGCCATGCCACTTGTCAAATTCCAGTTTTCATTTTTCAACATTCTATCTGACATTTATTGTTTAAAAACAGAATAAAAAATGGAATAACCTTTAGAATTATATTTTCACAATAGGAAACATAAACTGCTTGCATTTCACTGATAACTAATGAGTCTGGACCTATTTAAGTTGGCATATCTCCTTTAAAGAAAAACGTATCAATAAACTAATACAATACATTCACATGTTCTCTATTGACTTTCATTTACCATATTTGTCAGCTGTAGACTCGGCTTAAATCAGCGTAAGGCCACTAGATGAGGAAATCAATTGTCATAACTTTTGTGGAAAATGATACCTTTACAAACATTCAATTCAAAGAATATCACTCTTACAAAGGGTTTTCAGAGAATAACGGAAGCAAAACTTTAGTTTCCCGTACAATGAGTCATTCTATAACCCTAACCCTAAAACCGATAACAGAGCCACACTCTAGTTTCATTTTCATACTTACCATCTATTTGGGTGAAGGTGTCATTAACTCTTAAAATGGCCAAGATTCAATTAGATTTTACTTCTTTATTTAATTTTACTTTAAGCTGTTCATTCGTGTGGAAACTTAATTCATGTGAGCAGTTGGTTCTTCTGTGGGAGACAGATGAGGTTTCAAAGGTCAGCTATTGCGAAATTGTAAACTCTGAATTTCCTTCTTTGGGTTTCCTTTTGTCCACAAGCCCAGCTTCCTCCTTATGAGGTGTGATTTCTTAGATATATGACTTGAGAATGACGTTTGATCTGTTGTGGAAGTTCCCCCGAATTATATTGGTTCCCTATTACCACTCCTGAGGGTGCATTTGATCATCAGTGGCCCCCCTCCTGGAAACATTTTATAATCTGACTGACCAACCGTATGCAATAAAAACCTAAAACTACTGTTTCAGCATCACCTGTTGGCAGGACACATGAACAGACCAAAACAATCATCCCTTTAGACCAAACTACTCACTGTCTCTAGGTTCTGGGTCCAGTCCTCTAAACCTGCCCGACGGCCTGGCATCCACCACCTGGAACTCCTTGGTGTCCAGGTTGTCCAGGATATCCTCATAGGTTTTTACCCACGGGCGGTTTAGAGAAGCCTTGAACTCAGTCGGCGTGGGTCTGACGTACTGGTCACTCACTGGATGGCCGTCCAACTCCCAGTTCCTGAAACCCCCGTTGAGCAAAGACACTGCACTGTGCCCAAAGACACGGAACATCCACCACACGCGGGGAGCAGAAAACGCACCAACCTCACTGCAGTCGTACACCACCACGTGCGTGTCGTTCTCTATTCCCAAATTCCCAACATAGTCTGCAAAAACCTCCTCTGATGGCAGCATGTGATCCAGGGGAGATGTTTTATCACAGCACTGGTCTATGTCAAAGAAAGCTGCGCCTGGGATATGCCTCTTTTTGAACTCCTTCTTGGCCTGTCGGTGTACTTTGGGTAAATACCAAGAAGTATCCAAGATGCGCATTTTCCCCTGAACTTTGACAGCTTCTGCAAGCCATTTAGAGGTGATCAGTGCTCTCGCTTGAAGCGCCATACTGTGCAATAGGCAGAGAAGTGATGAGGTTTACGATTACTTTAACTGTGTAGAGCTCGTGCCAAAGATTGAGAAAGACCGAGGGGACAAAGGTAACAGAAGAGGGAGAGCATACTCAGTTTGCTGGGCAACAACTAGAAGTGGGCGGCCACTCATCACAGAGCACAGTTTACCTTACAACATTGAATTAAACTAACCATATTACGTTGGTTTAAAATCACAGTGCTGAATCTACCAACGTTCTACTCATTCACATGTAGGAAACTTACAGTCACTTATAACATGGCACATTTAATTATTTTGTAGCCTATTATTTTTCTCACTTTTGTAAAAGTGGCAGTTTTCTGTCTTACTTTACTAAAAACATATTGATAGAAACTGCTGTAGTTATTAAAAATGGTTTTATTTGAAAATTGTTGTTTTCCTTTTTTTTTTATTCCACTTGAGTTGTTTTGTTTGTTTTTATAAACAATGATTTTTACAGAAGCGTAATAATACTTAAAAGTATTAAAAACACAAATGGTTTAAATGTTATATAATTAGACTGCTTGTCATAGAAAATTGTTGTTATTTCAAAGTTGTGTGGACTTAATGTAGTAGTGGTTGTTGAAGGTAGGAACGACTTTTACCCTGACTGTTATCGGGGGGACCTTATAAGTTGGTGCTCACCAAGAACCCGGATGTTGATAGCTCGCATGCTGCGCTACAGTTAGAAGTTAGTGTTCATTTGATAAATGAAGTTGGAAGTACAACAAACATATTAAATATCGAGTCGTTATGTCAGCGTCATTGATCAGGAGAGGTTTGGAGCTGCTGAACGATGACTTTAAAGGTCAGTTTAGATAGTTTACTAACATAAGCAAAAGAGTAGTTTTTCTGTCTAATCTATCACCCAATGTTGGAAGTTGGTCCTTTCCAGTGTTGATACAACTTATATAGAAGAGTTTATGTTCACTCAATTACTGCAATTTTAATCTCACGCCTTCTCTCCAATACTTCCAAGCAGATAGCAGTAAAGGGAAGAAGAAGAAGCAGACCCCGAGCTCAGCAAAAGTGATGGACCTGGTGAGCACTAAGCGGCAAGGAGTCACCAGACAAAAAAAGAGGTTGCAGGGCAGGCAAGGTCCTGGAAGAAGCAAAGCTACAGTCAAAGACAAGAAAATCAAATCAGCTGTGGGTAAGTCAACCAATTAGTTTGGAAATATCTACTATGAATTTACTGTGGAAGCCATCAGAAATGCATCAATGTGTATATTTGTTTGACTTATGACAGTGATAGTAACAATGCTTAGACAAAACTTGGCCTGGCGTTTTCAGGAACAAGATCAATCGAATATAATAGTATTAAGGGCTATTTATGTTTTCTGTTGACAAATTGAAATAGCTTGATTGGTACATTTGCGCCTTATTAGGCTTGTTCTCACTGGAAGTTGAAATGCAATTTTGTTGGAATTCAGCGTAATTCAGCGTTTATTGATTTAATCCATGCCAAAAAAAACATTTTTGATAAAAGCAGTGAGCCATCAACGATTTTTCACACAATCAGAATGTCTTGATTATTTAGAAAAGTGCCTCAATGTTCTTATGATCATGTTCTGGAAAAAGTTAAAGACTGAATACCGTGTAAATGAAAACCAAAAAAAAAGCTAAAAAATCAATTTGAACAAGAAAGTGTGGTTAAGAAAAATGTACAACGGTGAAAGTTGATGTTTTTCCTCGGTGTAATTTGCAGAAGAGTTTCGGAAGAAGAAGGAAAAGAGCCATTTGAGTACCAATCTCAAATACTTTATGGAAACCACCTGTAAAGCAACAGACTCTGATACAATGAAGGTAAGGAAGGCTTCCGATAAATGTGAATGTTGATTAGCTTAATCTGGACCATTTTTTAAGAGAGATTTAGTTTTTAATATCTTTCTTTAAAGGACATGGCCATGATGTTTTGAATACAACAGAAGAATAATTTTTAGGCCCGTTGAATTTAAATGAAATTCAATTAACTTTTTGTTAGTTTGGTTATCAAACAAATTACCTGTAGTTTTCCTAAAAACTGACACAGTATGCTCTGGTAGTCCTCTAAGATTCTCTGTATTTTAACCTTGTGGACACATTGATTCACAGCCAGTGAGTATCGCACATGAGCGCGTTAAAACCAGTACAATCCTGGGTGAGATTCACATTTTCGACTGATCAAGGTGAACTGAGTGCTGCTCTCTTGCACTGAACACCATATTCTTGTTGACAGTAAATGGGTCGTGCCAAATTGTAACGGCATAAAATCACAATTTGCATGCTCCAGTGAAAACCACCAGACTGTACAACAATTGCTAGGCCTCATCGAAGACGCTGATCAGGTCCTACCAGTTGTAGACCCACATGGTAACATTCCTAGAGCTTACATACAGAGAAACCAACGACACGTAACCGACCAAAATGAAAGTTAGTTTTAAAAAAGGGGAACAAACAACTGAGGCCTGCCTGCTGAATTTTGGGGATTTAACACGTGATTGTGTATAGCAAAAGTCCAGAAAAGAGTTGAATGTTGGCTTTTGTTCTTGTTGTTGGACAAACCTGTTTCACACCTTCTTATTTAAAAAAAAAAGGGTATGAACAGAACATTTAAGTTGTTCTCATTAAGTGTGAAGTTGCCCAACACTGGTCGGTTTGCTTTAAAATGTTTACTGGATTTCTTGTTGACTTAGATCATCAATCACAACTCGGGGAGGCAGTCCAGGCATCAGCGGGAGAGACCTGTCAAGAAAGCCAAAGAGCCACAGTCTTTGTTCACAGAGGAGGAGTTCCAGCAGTTCCAGAAAGAATACTTTGGCAGAACTGTTGAGGAGAATAAATGACCAGCACAGCCTAAAAGCGTGATGATGTGGAAGGAGCAAGACTGTGTTCTGTGGATCAAAGTGGAGATTTGGAGCAGACTGTGTCCAGAAAGTCAGTTTTGCCACATTCCATTGCATTCCTAAAAAACAGGTGTTTGGTCTCAAAGTGGTGAATTGTACACTTTCAGTATTTGTTGTCTCAAATCTTTTCTAGAGAAATATTCACATATTACAGCTTTGCCTTTTCAGCAGCATCAGAAATTCAATAAAGTCTGTTTGAGGTGCGGAACAAGAATGCTTTTGTTGTTTGGGTGTAAAATTGAGGAGTGACTTTGGAATCTGTCCAAATCTGTCTACTGGTGTTCATGTGCGATGAGAATAAAAATGTTAACTCCAAGTTTTAATATTTAACTTCATCTTCAGCTGCTTCCCATTGGTTCTTTCCCATTTTTTATGTTTGACCCCCCCAGAAATCTGGAAGCCCACCTAGTGTTTTTTAACATCAGAGATGCAAAAAGCTGGCCACAAACTTTAAAGCAATGCTCACCATCTCTTACAAAACATCTCGTACACAAATTCTTTCACAATCATCAGTCAGAATTCGCCATCCATCAGGCCCTGCCCCCTTGATCCACCCTTGCATCCTGAAAAGCTAAATACCAGCTGGGCCTCTGGGTGTAATCTCTTCTCACATCTCACTCTGGAAGTGCTTCTTGATGAGTTACAGCTGCAGAAGAGAAGGAAAACGAGCTGCATCATGCCACAGGTAAGATATTTTAGTGTTCACAAATTATACTGAAACCAGAACTATGATTCAAATGCAACATTGAATATTCATATTTTTTCAGTGCATCATGTTCTAAAACTCCCTATTTGTTTGTGGTAGCAATGCAATATTGTTCTTATTTATTTACCACAAATCTTCCACAAACCATCCATTATCTTATTAGATCTGCACTGTGTTTTGTTTGTATTTTTGCAGGATGGATTGCAGTGGGTTGAACAGTCAATTCTGTTGGGATGTAGCCTTACTGTTTTTTGTTTTGTTTTTTAGAAATTTAAACATTGCATTTATAAGAAACAGTTTATTTCTAAGTCACCAGAACTTCGACTGTATCTCAGTCTTTCAAAGAAAATACTGAAAATAGGAAGACACTGCTGCAACCTGCTACCTCCCACACTGACAATTATGTGTGTTTGATAAATCACATTATTTCTACCAATGTAACATAATTTTCGCATTGCTGAAATTTACTCAATCTACTTGACTTTGAAGAGATATTTATAGCAAAAGTGAAAGTGTGCATCGGATGACCCAACTTAAGGAGATGCAGATGTTCTGGTTCAACAGGCTTGATCAGTTTTCTGAATAGTTTCACTTTGAATAAGCCCATCTTCTTATTCAGGTGCAGCGAGTTGCCGACCGAAACAAAGCTTCTTTGTTTACTGAATATAATGTGTGGATTTACATTTCTGAAAAATCCCAAATTAAAATAAAAGTTGCTTCATAACTTTCCATTAGTTTCCATTACTCCTCAAATCTTCAGAATTTCCCATCAGATAACAGGAACTAGTTCAATTATGCCGCTTTCTTTCTGCATTCAAAACCAATTAATCCCAAGCCACCACATTTCCACCAAACAAAATCTTTTGTTGAGGAGTTGCTTAAAGCTGTCACCTCTCGAAAAACTCCTCCTGATCTACAGGTTTGTGCTCATCAATAACAAAACTGCTGGAGTTCAAATGGTTAATTTAGTTTCTGAACAGGACTAATTATGGCGATTATGGAGATTTTAACACGAGATGTCTCCATTTTTGTCTCAGAGAACTCAGTGTTGCATATCTCCACCTCCAGTGGCACCAAAGCCACGAATAAAAAAGACTCAGGATGAAACTGGGAATATATATGTCGCAATAGAGAAGGTACCAACATTTTCTTCTAAGTGTTTAGTCTCTTATCTAAACGGTTAATGCATTGTGGGAAAATCAGATAGAAATGTCATACACTGATATATTTTAGTAGTCTTTTCATAAATTATACATATTGAAATGTAAATGCATTATTTGTAAGAATTCTAATTTAGTCCTGTTAAATAAACATGTACTTCTGAATGAAAGAAAAAACATAAATAACCCCTGTTCTCTGGATGCTCAGTCTGCTTGTCAGGAGGTGGATAAGAAACCACA